CCATTAAATGTCCCGCTAGCCAGCAGTTCGAGATTCATCGCGTTGCGGAACTATTACCATTTTGTGCAGTTACCATTCGTCCGGTATCAATACTAATCGGTTGCATTTCCTGAGATATCCCCACCTGGCCGGTTGTTGATTGAACAATATTGCACACACACTAATTAAGGGATAGTATCGCCAGCAATGATTGCCGTTGCGCTACGGCGTTAGTCCCTGGTACGCCAGGAGCGAGGGAATTTGTCGATTACGCTAAACTTGAATGAACGTCTATCGCATACCGCATTCACTAGTAAGTGTATTTCAGGGACTAGTGAATCATAAAAAGAAGCTAAAGCCTTGCTTTAGTTGCATAAGCGTCTGTTGCGATGCCTGAATCGACTCGATGTTTAATGCAACACAAGAACAATAGGGTGAAGTTATTTTTAAAACTACTTAGTAAGTAGTAAGGGTAAGTGCCTTCCAGCATTAGTCCTTTTTAACGATGATTCAAAACAATATGTTAGACAAAATAAAATTCAGGAACTTGACTTCCTAGTCTGCTCAGAAAGCCTGGGATGGTGATAAGGGCTCAGATATTACGGCGTCTTATCCGGTCCCGCAGGATTAGGTGATAAATACCCTTGCTGCATGCCCAAAACTGCGTCTGGTGCATTTCTCTTTTGAATACGATTATGTAAAAAAATGAAAATGAATATTTCCTTTTTTCATGGGCAATAACCAGATTGGAACATGTAGCAACAAGCTCTTTCTCACTCACATTTATAGCATTCCCGACTTGAGTATAAAGGAAATTAATGGAAAATAAAAGAAACTAAGATTGATCGACAACGGCTATCTATGAACATACCTGAGCAAAAAATGTTTCAAATAAATCAAATTATTAGGAAAGGAGTGAATCGCTAACGGGGCTCCTACAATCACGAGCCACAATACCCAGCGGTCTGTATATGTGGTCTAAATACATTTGCGTTCTAAGCTTATTCCAACCTCGCTTATCGCTAAGATGGAACAAAGACTCAAACGCAAGAATCTTGAAAAGAAACTCAGACCAAAAAAAGCTGATATAAAAATAACTAATTCGGATAGCAATTCCAAAGAAAATGAATAGTTTTATGGCGAATTGAATCAAAAACCTGACATTAAATTAACTACATTGATTTGGAGGTTGCTAAGCGAAAATTTTTAGGGAAACTTGAAAAATGTGACGACGAGATTTTGCAGATCGAACAAGTCACCAAATCACAGGACTGTACTTTGTCGCGCCTTCATCGGAGGATAAGGTTGACAGCGTCTCGATTTGGTGAAGTTTGTAGAAGAAGGCAGACAACAAGCTGTAAAGTTCTAGTAAACTCCATCATATACCCAACAGAGTTTTGTAGTAACGCAATAAAAAAGGCAATACAAAAATCATTGGACACCGCAGTCTTGTGGTTTGTTTATTGATCGCACACATCCATTTCTGGCAGCATCGCCTCCATCTACCTATTACAGTAGACATGAAATGGAATTAATCCAGGTATAAGCGCAGCCGACGTCAACTACGAGCCGTAAACAAAGAAATCTGGCAACGTAGGTGGTAGTGTTACTCCCGCCGCTGCTTGCTGCATCGACGCAACTCGTGCTCAAAACGCTGAGAAAACATAACCTTTTCAATTTGTGATTTGGGAATCCAAGAGGCTGTAATTAAGAGATAAGCTTGTTTTCTAAGCTTCAAAGTGTGTGTATGTGTTCAAACTGATCGGTGACTATAATATATGAGAAATAGACTCCAGTTGTAGTGCTTCTGTGCTTTAAAAATAAACTAAGAAGTTGATTGAAAACGTGCAAATTCAGGTTGTATTTTTCTTTTTTCATTTATCAAGTATTTGACGCAGACAATATGCCTCGTTGTTGCTGTGTTCCTTTATGCAATGCAAACTATAATTCTGCTTTGAAAACAGAAAGCTATGTTTCAACTTTTCGCTTCCCAAGTACCGAAAGTCTGAAAAACAAATGGCTTATGGCAATTCCCAGAAAACATTGGACACCTTCAAAATATTCAGCTGTGTGCAGTCGTCATTTTAGAGAATCGGATATCATCAGGACAGAAAATATAGTTTTGGCGGATGGAACAGTCCAAAATAATATACCTTTGAAATATCCAAAATTGAAAGAAAATGCTGTTCCCTCCATTTTCCAAAACTTGCCATCATATCTTTCAAAAACTGAAGCACCCAAAAGAACTGACCCAATGCAAAGAAAACAAAAATTAATTGAGAAACATGAAAAAGCTATCCAGAATTTCGATGATATGGATAAGATCAAAGATAAATTTAGTTCAAAAATGTGGGATCAGAAGCTTCTTAATAATAGAACGTGTTTCACTGATATTAAAGATGTAATATTCAGAATCAACTTCCCCCAACCCCCACTTTTTAAGCAGTACATTTTTTTTTCTGTCAATGATAAAGAACCCCTGTAACGTCAAAAACGGAGTTTCAGCAATTGCTACTTTTTTTGCCTATAACATGATATTTTTGGATGAAATTTTCACAGAGTGCTGAAAACAAAACCCCACAGCGTGCTGTAGAGCCACTTTTTCATTTTTTTTCACAAGGTTCTTTTTAAAAAAATCCTGAAGTTGTACAGAAAAAGTACGCACTTCAACCCATCCAAAATTTCAAAAAGTGCTCCTATAGCACCCTGGGCAATTATCTTCTCAACGTACTTATGAATTTCATTGAAAAATATTGAAAAATGGAGTGTCAGTTTTGAAGCAGCTGAACCCTTGTAAATGCCTTGAAACTCACTGCGTCGGAGCCGCCTTAAGAACTCGATTTCTGTAGAAAACTGAAGATTAAATGGTATGAAAGTCGCGAATGTTAGCGATGCAAAGGAGTAGATGCATCGTGCAAAGTATCCAACAGGACACAACCTGCATCAGAGAGACAGAGATAGGGATATCAGAATTTCCGAACCACTAGTTCAGAGCGCTCCTTTCTGATCATAAGATCCACCCTTACAGCGATCGTTGCTGGCAGAATATGTCGACTTTAAATAATATTTTCTTGAAGATGAATAGAAAGGATACAAGACGCCGCGGAAAGAATTTCTGCTAACAAAATCGTTATGCGGGATGCTGTCAGGAAGATATAAGCTGTAATCCGACGTGACGCATTTCCATCCTTATTGTTTTATATCACTTCTTGTGTTCTTTGCCGAGTACGTAGAGAGAAAAAACTGTATAGGTACAACGGCTATGGAGATTTAAGTTAACAGTCTAATTGCGGGGAATAATGATCATAATCCAGATATCTGAACTGACAAAATGTTTTAAGAATATGTGGGATTTAATGTCGTCGTTATCTGGATTTTTATGGAGGTATCTTAACACTTTGGATAAAATCTGTTTCATTATACTGAGTGATGGAAACAGCGGTAGACATTCATATCCAACGTTTTTTCTGTACATACTTGATCAAGACATACAGGGTGAGCCAAAACAGAACGACGTAATTTTCTCTGGAAATTTAACTCTATTCAATGCGACTTGTAGTGCTCTTCTAGTTGTATCAAGCACTGCCTATTCCCGAATCTAGTATCTTCTTATAGTATTTTCTTATTTAAACCATAATTTTGGAACTATCAGGGAAATATCCGTCAGTCATGCTATTAATAAAAAAAAATTCTATCCGATTGAAATGTGTCTCTGAGTGGTCAAAAAATGCAATTAAACACTTACACGCAACGACTAATATACTAAGTGACATATAAATCCGAACACCCAGTTTAAACTGGTTTTATTTTAATAAAAGTTGGTGAATGTATTTATCTTACTGTAAATAACAAGTGAAAAAATTTTCAGCCTTATCAGTTGGACTATTCTAGTTTTTATACTGCTTTTTTTAATTCACTAACGCTAAAACATGAATATTTAAAGCAGAAAGAATCAACGTTGGCGGATTTTGATTCTTGACATCCTTTACGATCGGTTACGATGCCTAGAGTACGGAGACCTGTACGATTTCGTTAACTTAGTGAGTTTGATAGGGGCCGTATAGTGGGACTTCGAGAAGCTGGACTTTCTTTTCGGGCAATTGCAGTTAGAGCGCAAAGAAGTGTAGACACTGTGGTTAGGTGTTGTCAGGCATGGCTTTGAGAAGGCCGTACGCAAAGAGCAAGGGGCACTGGACGCCGCCGTAGAACAACAGACCGTGAAGATCGCCGCCTAAGATTATTAAGAATTGATAATGCAAATGGACTGAAAGAATCAATTGAGATATAATGTGTGGTATAAATTCTCTAATTTAATGTTTTTCTATTATATATCTTTCAATACAGTATTATGTATTTAATTTTTTCTTTTATTATTATTATTATCATCAAACCTTGATTTGAAAACAGATTTGAAGTGGCTAATAAATAGGTAATCTTTAGATTTTTTTTATCGAAGCAGAAGCCTAAATGCCGGACGCCGCCGTAGAACAACAGACCGTGAAGATCGCCGCCTGAGGTTATTGGCCTTAAGGGACCGTTTCTCCACTACCAGGTCCATTGCAAATGAATGGTTTGCAGAACACGGAAAGACCTATTGGTATGCGAAGTGTTTACCGAGGAATGAGAAGTTTTGGCTTGTTTTCATACCGGTCACACTGGGTCCTCCCTTTAACTCGAGAACACCGACGTAATCGCCTTGAGTGGTGCAGACAACGGTCACTCTGGGATCAGGAATGGAACAGTATTGTCTTTAGTGACGAGTCTCGATTTTGTTTAGGCATGCACGATAGGTCGTGCCAGAGTTAGAAGGCGACGTGGTGAAAGGAGGAATCCACAGGTTTGTTGTTGAAAGACATGTTCATCACACTGTTGGAGTTATGGTTTGGGGTGCTATAGCTTATGGTTCCAGGTCACCTTTAATCTTCATCAGAGGTAACATGAAGGCGCAGCGTATATATATTGTATGTCACTTAGTATATTTGAGGTGTGAGATATTTTTAGATGACAGCATAGACACTTACATCTACGTGCACACCTTCCACCTTATACCAGGTCTTCTGAGGTCTCGCTTTGGGCACGAACCGGTAGAACTCTTCGTGTTCTTGTACCATTTCACGGCATAAAGCGTATCGTTGCCTAGATCGTAGTCACAGTAGCAGGTCGCAGATTCGCCAGGGATCCGGTACTGAGGTACCGATACGCGTACCCACTTGAGACCGCTGTTACCTGCACTGGACGTTGCTGGAAAGGAAAAAACTACTTCAAAATCCGTATCATTGAATGGAGTGCTACTAACAGACCATGCAGGAGCTACATAACGCATTGGATATTTTTCACTTTAGTTATTTTTTGGATGTCTATGATCTGATTGTATGAGCCTGTTTGGCTGACTTGATCCGTCTGATTTCATTGTTAGTTTACTTTTTCAGAAGGTTTAACTTGTACTGATTTTAATCCTTTACGAACTGATGAAGTCTGCGAATAGGTATAAAGTTTGTAATATGTTAACGAAATGAAACCTATACCCAGGCCTTTATAAGAAGCGTATTTTGGAATTGAAAATCATGAATTTCACACGTGATCTGGTGTAGAGTTTATGTTACGTTCAAAGATCAGCTTTTGGAAGTTAGCAGAGGAACTTCCAAGAGGAGACTTTTTCATTATACAGGGGCCGTTCAAGTATTACGTGAGCACTATGGGGGGCTTGCTTTGCTTATTTTGGATGACATGGGGGGTAGGGGAGTCTAGATGATGATTACGTGATCGGTAGTTATTTACTTTTTTACACGGATAGCAACCCTCGCATTGTCTTTGCTTGAAAACGAAACGCATTTTCGGGGATTCCCGCAAATAATGCATACGTTTAGTGAACAGCGCGCGGTAATTCCCCTACTCGCTTTAGAACCGAGTAGGGGAATTACCGCGCGGTGTTCACTTGTCTAAATTTCCTCTATCATGTATTCTGCCAGAGATACTATGCCAGGCCGTGCTGAAGTTGATAAACAGATCATTAAGTTGCGCGAGGAAATAAAAACAGCAAAACAGTCTTTAAACAGGAAGGTTCAAAACGCAGTTGCCCAGCAGAAACACAGGGATGGTATGAAAAGAAAGTTAGAAGATATGTGTCAGTGCAGCAGATGATAGAAGACGAACGGAATCAATACTTTTGCTGACAAGGGGGATGGGGGGTAAGAATTGTAATAAATCTGCTTACGTAATACTTGAACGGCCCCACAGTAACTGTCATCAACGTCAGAAAGTCGTGTATTTGCTGGCTGAATCTATCTACGATTTTAGTGGTAAAATTGGTACGATTTGGTTTCAATAAACAACGCAAAACAAATATCATTGCTTCGTCGAACTACAGTGCAATCACAGATAAGTAAAGAACTGAATACAGGCAACCAGTTGCACCGAACTGCTCTGCTGGTTGCAGATTGTAGATTACGTCTGCCAGATTCAACTACTACAGTATTTCACAGTATCATCACAATGGTAAAACAGATACGACCATTAAAGAAACATATTTCTGACATAGATGACTGCTTGTGACGGCAACTGTTATAGCTTAGTGTGAAATGAAAATTAAAATCCGCCCCTGAACATTCATCAAAGAAGTATCACTGTCTTATTGTTAACAAGGAAGCCCAAGCTTCAAGGAATTCTAAAACTCTTAGTCATTCCAGTCACGGTGAGACCGTAGCGAAAATGCCCAAATCACCTAAAAACCGGACACTGCCATATGTAAACAACTAGCTCAAAGCCTGTATCGATATCCAGCACCAGTTCCAAAAATAATCGACAAGATGCTAAATCTATAAATACTCCACACCAAACTATTCAATGCACCTTATTGGCATACCACAATAGTCCGATAATGCCGGTATATAGGTCGCTATTTTTGCTCAAAAAATTTCACAGAAACATCTGCCGTCACACAAAACACATTACAGAAGTTCATTCACAGGTTCGTTCGTTCATTTGTCGCACAGGTGGTCCGAGGGTAGAGCTAGCAAAACTAGGCTAATTGAATAATTAATATTGAATCCATCCATCCGACATTTGGAATATTTACGAGTGTCGAGGCACAGGTATATTTAGTGGAGATAAATTCGGCATCGAATCTAACCAAAGTATCTTCCGGATCAATAGAACGCAAAATCCGAAATACATTTTCATGTCATAGTTATGACCCGTGTTCTCGCAAAAATATTTTTATGCTTTTTTTATTTGTGATATGAATATCGGATCAGTTTCTCTATCAATCGTTTTCGTTAATCTCTTTGTCAGTTCGCGCAAAGTTATTTATGGCCAAAACCATTTTCTTGAGCAGTATGTACAACAAAATGGAATCAACAGAACTCTGACATAAGTTTATTAAAAGTTATAGCTGTATTCCAAGTGAAAAAAGGAGAAAAGCTGATTTCAAACTTTGCGAGTCAACAAGATGTAATTACAGTATATTCAGATAAAAGATAGACCGGACATAAACAAGACCACGTGATCATCGAACGCTGTAACATTCGGCAGGGACGTATTAAGAGTCACGCAGTACATATTTGAGATAGTAGATGCTGCTTTGCGTAACTTTGTAGTAAATTAGCACAATTCGATGTGTATACGATTGGTGATGGATATAGGATCATGTGGGGGTGGGGTAAGAAATATATAATGATGTAAATATACATAAGGGTTTCAAAATTTTCGCTTCCATTTCCAGCTTCGGATGCCGCCTGATGTTTGGTGAAATACAGTCGAATATAATCTCAAAATGGCGTTTAAATTAGCCTAAATTAAAAATAATCGTATATCTCTTAAAATTGCTTTTAGAATACTGATTAGTATATTTTTTGATTTCTAGGTAAATATGTAACCAAACTAAAACGTTCAAAACGTAAAAAAATGTGCATGGTTGAACATTGTCAGAAAGTAGATTCTTGAATAGGTTTTGCCAAAATGGGTTCAAAAATGTCAATAATTAATTAAAAAACACAGTAGCTTTATAATTACTTATAACTTACCGAATTTGATGAACGACATCTTTTATTGGAAAGATGAGCTTGATGAGCTTTCATCATCGCTACTGCCTGAAGCACCAACGTCAATAATGAATGGCTCGACTTGTTCCTCTAAAATATTGTCCAGTTCCCACATTCTCTTTTCAACTTTGTCTTTCATGTGCTTAATACAGTTTTCCCATTTTTGCGCTGTTATTAATTCTAGTGCTTCTTTGAAAAGTCCTTTGAGGTCACAAAATTTAAAAGTTGTATTGTGCTTAGCTATATAATTTTTAACCTCTGCCCATATGAGCTCAATGGGATTGAGCTCGCAATGGTATGGAGGTAAACGGAGCACAGTTTTGAAATTTGGCAACGTTGTATCTCCATTTACCTCCTGCAGTACCTTATCTATAGTAGGTATTTCATTCCTAAAGAAGAATTCATGCACTTTCCTCCTAATCGCATGCTTATCAGCTTCATCCAATGATTTAACAATACTTTTGCGATGTTTACTGGTCATTGGCTCAGAAAAGGTGTGATTTTTTTGTATTGTCTTAACACATTAAACACTGATGCGCGACACACCCCAACTTTGTGAGAAACCTTCACAACAATTTCTTTGATGGTTGATGCCTCGGTCTCCTCGCGCTCGATCTTATATATATTCAAAATGACCTCTTTCATTTCTGCACTCAGGTGTCTTTTTTTAGAGCGTTTCCTAGGTGGACTACAGGAGTTTACAACTTCATCGGCAGTATCTGTACTACTGGCATTTTGCGCAAGCAGTTGATAACAATAACAATCAATAACAAGGTATAACAATAACAACGACAAACTCAACAACTTAATAAGATAACAAACGAAAACGTCCAAAGAAATATCAAATTGCAATGATGCACACGACATACGTAACACGTCCGAATCTGAATGTGACTCTGCCTTGATACGACTGCTCTGTCGCTCGGCATAGGCATTTAATTGCGAATTGGCCAATCAGGGCTCCTGTTTTACGTCGAGACGGCGGCGTTAGCGTGAAAATCACCCGAACCTTTTGTTTACATCCGGTCTATCTCTTATCTGAAGATACTGTAGGAATTTCCTTCTGTGATTCTGGGCTTTAAAATGAGTCTTGACTATGCTCAAGACTTTTCAGAAAAGCATCGAAAAATGAAGCCAGTCAGTCACTTGGTATCATTTTTTTCTAATTATTCGAACAAGGCACCGATTGGAGCAACACCATTGTTTGACTCAGCTGCACCTAAAACATAATAGCAAAGCATCACGGTCTAACCACGATAGCGACTAAATCGCTTCAGAGCTGGATCTTTTGTACTACAAGCGCAGCTTTTGTTCGCTGGTGCGGAGCGTTCATTCAGGTAAGATAGATGCAATTTATTTCCTTTTATTGCGATGCAGTTACGTGTATGACGTTTGACTCCATTTTATTATTTCCGTGACGGCCTGGCAGGACTTGGTATGCACTATACGGCTTCATATTGCTTTAGCGTCAGCGATAACCTGGTGGAATAACGGAATTGGAACTGTTCTTGTGCATGTCTGTACAATAGGTAGTTAGAGGGACATCTGGATTTTGCGTTTGGGAAACATATAAAATGCAATAAAACGGATCTTTTTTTTGAACAGGGGAAAGCTTTTGGGGCCACTCGCATGTAGAAAAACTCGGCCCTTACAATAAGTGTCCTTTAAGGCGGCTCCGACGCGGTGACTTTCAAGCCATTTACAAGGGTTCAGCTACTTCAAAACTGACACTCCATTTTTCAATATTTTTGGATGAAATTCATACAGTATGTTGAGAAGATAATTGCACAGGGTGCTATAGGAGCGCTTTTTGAAATTTTGTTTTTGCACAAGTTTTATGATGGGTTGAAGTGCGTACTTTTTCTGTTCAACTTCGCGAAAAATGAAAAAGTGGCTCTATAGCAGAGTGTGGGGTTTTGTTTCAAGCACTCTGTGAAAATTTCATCCAAAAATATCAAAAAATAAAGCGTTAATTTCGAAGCGCGCAAACCTCTACAAATCGTATTTTATACGAATTTTATCTACTGTTTCGTTCTGCCAACCCAAGCGTTACGGCGCAATGTACGGACTAAGAAAGGACGTATTCATATAATTTGGTGGCCCTATTTCATATAATATCGCGTAGATAACTTCTAGATCGCTAATCGAAATCCGACTTTGTTATTATAAAAATTTACCTTGGTATGCACCCGCAGTCATCCTTTCCCCTTTTAAAGTTGCGCCGATGACCGTCTAGGCCCAGCCCACCCTCGTTTCCTTTTCACGCCCACCGTTACCTCAGCAGATGGTGCTCGTGATTGTAGGAGCCCCGTTAGATGATTACTGGCCATTATTATTTTAAACCATGCATCTAATACTGATTCACACGCTACTTCACAGTCAAAATGTTGATAAGCTTGAGACTGAGATCGTTAATATACGACAGTAGTGCAAGATCGTACTTAAGACGAATCAACATTTTGATCAACCGTTGTTGGGACAACGTTGTTGAGGTTCTGTTATTATTAGCCTTGTCGATAGTATCAGAATTATGAATATTTCCAGTTGTAATTTCGCTACTAAAGTGGTTTTTGTTATGCGCTGGTAGATTTGATTTCTGAAAGGAAGTATCAGCTATGGAGAAAGCTGTTCTTCATAGAAAATGAAGATAATAACCAACCTATTCCATTTTCTGGCTACTTTTGTCCTTGGAAAGAATTATGTCCCGATTTAATCGTACTAAATAGTCGAAAGCGTTTTCGGAGTCAGTGTGCAAATATTCAGGTAAAGCCAAAAGAAAATAAAAACCGAGTTTTAAGAAATTTCAATACTTTCCTGAATACCGAATATTCTAAACTTCGAAGCTACTATCACATAGATCTACTGACGGCCGCTTTTTAATCCACCCCAATATCTAGAAGTAACCAAGACACAATTTCCAGTAAGCCTCAATGCAAAATGATGAAACACTAATTATAGCATTACAATAGATTGGAACAGCCTCCCGGAAACAGACAATGTTAGTGTAAATTACTAGGTAAGCAAATTAGCTGATTACAGTCCACAGAAGTGCAGTTCGGACTGAAATACCGACGAGCACCTTATAGAACAAAGAACTGGGGAGGGAAACGAACTCCCTCATCCTATACGTAAACAACAATTAGCAACATCCTCACATACTACTGTAAGTTGAGTCAATTTTAATTCATTTTACACTATTGTTGCTACTGTTATCATTGTAATTGCAGCTCCTGATGATGATGGCAAAGTCCATTGAAAGCTAGAGAGAATTAAAAAAGTATAAAGAGTCCTCTTTGCTTAAATTTTGTCGAAGTACCCAACTAAAGGTGCAAGCTTTAATTTTTCACCTAACTGGTCTAGACGACAATGACCACGTCTCAATATATATATATATATATATATATATATATATATAGGATATATCCTCTAGTTTTGCTCGAACAATGTCAAAACGATTGTAGATAAACTTGTATGTATCTAGAGCCAGGGCAGCCGGTGGCGAATTGCGTTGGACCATGTCAGAACCTGCATATTGCCAAGAAAACTAATAAAATTGTTTGCAATTACCAAGAGCATTCTGGTCGGCAGTTGCTTCACGAACCGTTTAGCGGTAGTTTATGAAAGCTAAAAGAGACATTATGACACGTCATTGTATACTATAATTTTCGTAGATGTGTAAGCCCGGCTAAAAATACACGAGCGTAAGCATGCAAAGGCTCACAGGAAAACACGGACAAGCATTTTACGTCAAAGCCGTAGAGAACGAGCGGTAGGCAGGCTTTTCAAACTCTCATATTCAACTGAGACCTCAAAGGTCTGATAATAATCTGACGGCAACGATAGCATCTTCTCCTTTTAATCCCTATCTGACTCATTTGCAGAGTACTCATGGGCACGAGAGGCGGTGAACTATGCGGAACTGCTAGATTCAGTCGCCACATCAAATTCCAGCAGACTTTCTTTTATTTATTTGTTCAGCCAAAATCGATTACGGGATGGATGAACATGGAGATAAAGATATAAGTGGATTATGTTGTGTAGAGAATGGCAACGCTGAAAAAAAAACAGAAGAGGCATTCCAGCTTTACCTACCCCCTAGGCAATAACCGACATTCAAACAAGCATAAACGAAAATAAATGGTAATGTCCCCAAAGTCGAAGAAAATGTAAATAAACTGGATGACAGTTGCTTTGCAACATGGAAAATTTTACCCAAATTTGAATCTCCAGTGAAGTGCAGTAAAAATTTGCTCCTTTTACATTATATAATTTAAACCGAATTCGTGCGGGTCTTTCGCATTGCGAACCCAGCCGTTTCGCATGTTTCTTGTCTGTTCTCTACAGTGGGGTTTTGTAAGAAGATTCTGAATGCCTTGATCTTCTGCGATTTGTTGAACCAGCCGTTGGATCCTGGTTTAGGCACTTTCACTGAATGAGGGATGCGTTCCGTCGCATGTCCGTACCGCCAAATGTTGCGGACGAGTTTCTGCTGCCACAGCTGGCTGTGACCAAAACCTGACAAGAGCCTGCCATCCTATTTGGATGTCAATTTGACATTATTTACGCGCCAGGTATATTTCTCACCCAGCAGCATCTATTTGCGAATGTGGTTCTGTCGAGAGCTAAAAGTAATTTCGTCTGTGATGGATGATATTCGTGTTTGTATTTGAAAAAGCACCACAGATGGTCGTCCCAAGGTTAGACCCTATTTCTGCAGATGCAGATGATAACACATATGTTGAAAGCTGTCAGCAGACTGACGGCAAACCCATGGAAAGATTGCATCTGTCACGTTGAAGAGACGATCCAGACAAGGATGTGGGATCTGGACAATTTGATCGATATTCAAATCGAACCTGTAATAATTAATCTTAACCTTTCGGACGATAATTCAGCGAATAAAGACTTGTGAAAAGTATGTGCACTTCTTTCTATAAAAATAATCATTTTTTGTTAGATTATTCCAAGACCATTGAGGCAAATACGGACCTGTACAATCTCGCTTTTAGGCATGTTGTGCTTTGTCTGGGCGTGAATGGACTACGAATGGGACATAGGAACATGTTTGATTTAGCGTCAAGAGAGTCATGCGGGTTTCAGTTGAAACAGGAAAAATACTCACTTTACGATCAATTTATATGACAACTGATAGTGTATATAAAAAAAGATTTGAATGAGTACATTACAAATGCTGATTTACACATCTATGAAGCTAGGTACAGCGAAACCCTAGTTTTGGCTACCCACAATTTGTCACTTTTTGGGAAGTCTTTTTTGCCACAAAAAACGCTCCAATAGCTACTTTCAAGAACAAAATGATAAACAGACCATGGGCGTAGTGAACAAAAGCATTTACTTATTAAGTAAATTCTTTTAGTCAAATTTCTTCTGAAAGTAGTACAAACTAATCTGATGTACCTATTAAAGTCTACTTCAAGCTTTAAATCAATAAATCTTCAAAACTACTGAACTGAAGTACATTAATTTTATATCATTATAAAAGAAATTGAAAGACCTTTAAAATAAGGTATTACTCGACCCCCCTTTCCATTTAAGATTTTGGGGGTGGTGTCACCCCCGCTTTGGTGCTAACGTGATTTTTTGCCAAACTTGTGTCCCCCTCGAACACAAAATCGACGCGTCTGAGCGTTTTGCAAAAAAGAAACTGAGCTACCAGTAAATGCGTCTGTTTCGTCTTCGATGCGCTTCAAACTTGTATTCGCTACGTTTGCTCTTGTGGTCCACTGGGATAAATATTATTGGAATCGTAAAAATCTTCAAAATGTACACAAAATCATGCTAAGTATGGACATTTTAAGATCCAACCGGATTTTCAGAGGTGCGGACACCCATTTGCAAACGTATTTGTATGATATTAATGTTATTTCGTGCTAGATGCCAACGGTGAGAGACTTAAACCTACAGTATTTTGCATTCAGATAAAGATTTGCATGTCCTACCTAAACGAGCGCTGTGTACCAGCGAGCAATAGAGCAGTTGCAGCATCACAAAAGGCCCCATTTCGAGACGATTCAGTTTACTGCGCTTAACGAACAACAGGCGTTCGGTTAAACTTCCAGCGGAACTCTCGGACGGGAACACGCCATTTTCATCAGACCCGGATTTTTTCACTTTTTCTATACTCCTCGGTGACGTAGCGCCGCTACGGTATTGTTATGGCAGCAGCTGCTCAAATGAGTGGCAGTTCTCTCGATATCATTTGTGTGCTGCAAATAAAAAAAAAAGATTTGCAAATCGACACATTCAGGATGGCTACGAAATGTAGACAGTTTGTACTAGTATACTAAGTGACATATAAATCCGAACACCCAGTTTAAATGGTTTTATTTTAATAAAAGTTGGTGAATGTATTTATCTTACTGTAAATAACAAGTGAAAAAATTTTCAGCCTTATCAGTTGGACATTCCGGTTTTGATACTGCTTTTTTTTAATTCACTAACGCTCTAAAAATGAATATTTCAGCCGCAGTAAAGAATCAACGTTGGCGGATTTTGGTTCTTGACATCCTTTACGATCGGTTACGATGCCTAGAGTACGGAGACCTGTACGATTTCGTCAACTTAGTGAGTTTGATAGGGGCCGTATAGTGGGCCTTCGGGAAGCTGGACTTTCTTTTCGGGCAATTGCAGTTAGAGTGCAAAGAAGTGTAGAGACTGTTTTTAGGTGTTGTCAGGGATGGCTTCGAGAAGGCCGTACGCAAAGAGCAAGGGGCACTGGACGCCGCCGTAGAACAACAGACCGTGAAGATCGCCGCCTAAGATTATTGGCCTTAAGGGACCGTTTCTCCACTACCAGGTCCATTGCAAATGAATGGTTTGCAGAACACGGAAGACCTATTGGCATGCGAAGTGTTTACCGATGAATGAGAAGTTTTGGCTTGTTTTCATACCGGCCACACTGGGCCTTCCCTTTAACTCGAGAACACCGACGTAATCGCCTTGAGTGGTGCAGACAACGGTCACTCTGGGATCGGGAATGGAACAGTATTGTCTTTAGTGACGAGTCTCGATTTTGTTTAGGCATGCACGATGGTCGTGCCAGGGTTAGAAGGCGACGTGGTGAAAGGAGGAATCCACAGTTTTTTGTTGAAAGACATGTTCATCACACTGTTGGAGTTATGGTTTGGGGTGCTATAGCTTATGGTTCCATGTCACCTTTAATCTTTATCAGAGGTAACATGAACGCGCAGCATTATATCCACGAAATTCTAGAACCCCATCTTTTACCCTATCTTGAAACCCTGGCAGATCCAACTTTCCAACAAGATAATGCCCGACCACATGTTGCAAGAGTCACAATAGACTTCTTTCAACATAATGATGTCACATTGTTACCATGGCCACCAAGATCTCCCGAATTATCCCCAATTGAGCACGTGTGGGATATGATGGGTAGGAGATTGCTCAATTTGCAACGTCCTCCTCAGACTCTAGAAGCACTTCAAGAGGAGTTGGTGGTTGCCTGGAATGAGATACCACAGCAAGACATTGACCGCCTGATCAGAAGCATGCCTATGCGCGTTGGAGAATGCGTAGCACATCAGGGTGCATCCACACATTATTAAAGGTCAAAGGGCTTTAAAGCAGTGCAATCATTTTGAAATTTTTATCATTTACTTATTATGCTTCATTAAGTACTTATACAAATTCTATTAAAATAAAACCATTTAAACTGGGTGTTCGGATTTATATGTCACTTAGTATAGTAAAAATCACGTTTCATTCCAATAAGTGTTCAAAATGTTGCCCGTTATAATTTTAAACGAAAACTACCAACATAAACAGGAATTCGGAAGATAAGACGTGCCAAAAACCAAATAACAACCCGAATTTTTTCCGCATTCTTTTCATCAAGACAGATATCCTGGGTGAACTGTATTTATTGTTATACCTGTTTAGTCATTTGTTGCTAAGGGTTCAGTGATTTTTGGTAGATCCGTGCTGAGAAGTTTTTTTATTAAACAGTGATAACGTGTTGAATCTTTTCATGGTTGGACCATAATCACTATCAGTGATAGCGATATTACAAACGTTTCAGGAGTTCAATGTTGCATAGCTGTCTTATTATCTATGTGATATTTCTGGACTGAACTGATTGAAAAAAGCGCATTGTTCCTTTTTATGCCTCCAAAAATAGACAGCGTTTCATGTCGATGAAGCATACGAGGGTACGCCATGTCATGAACTTTTTTGTTTCGATACAGAAACACAATGCTCCAGCTGCAACGGTTGGAATAATATAAAAGAGCGTAACAGGTTCGCGCTGACCAGTCGAAAAATGGCAGTTCACTAATGGCGAATTACACCGGTTGAGATGTTCTCTTATGGTATATGAGAAACATTTTGAAACAGTGTTATAGGACCCCAACTCAAAACTTATGAAACGATATAAATTTTATGGTCTCTCTGACAAGCCACTACGTTTCTTCGGTTCGTATTTGCGCAATCGTACCCAGAAGGTGAAAACACGTAAGGGATTTTCTTCGGCAAAGAGTGTGGCATCTGGCGTACCTCAAGGCTCTGTGTTGGGACCATTACTCTATTTAGTTTATACCTTTGATCTACTAACTCTGTCTTTTGATTCTTCGGACATGCATGAAGCATCATATAAATTGAACTTGGATCTAGTTAACATTGAAGAGTACTGCAAAAGACATTGTCCGAAGGTCAATGCTTCAAAATGTTCTACTATGCTATTTGGCCCAAAACAGTTAGTACAACGGTGGCACAATTGTTCCTAGTCTTAACGAAACCCATATTCCTATAGTAGACCATGCGAACTATTTAGGGATCACCATGGATGCAGATTTGAGGTTTAAACAACATATTACGCATTTATCTCGCTTAACATACATGCGTTTGAAGTTATTATATACCAATCGCCATATTCTGAATTTCAAGACTCGCAAAAAACTGGCTGAGACTGGTTCTATCGTTAATAAATTATTCAATTGCTGTTTACTTTCCTTGTCTTGATCACGTGACTAGATATCGAGTACAAAAAATTCAAAATAGCTGCTGTAGGTTCGTTTGTGGTCTGCGAAAGTTTAGCCATGTGTCTAAGAAGATCAATGAGCTTAGATGGTTGAGGGTTGACCAGCTTTTCACATATAACTTACTAATTTTAGTACAACGAATAAAAATCAATAGGCTACCTACTTATCTACTAAAAAGGCTGGTACCACGTGGGGATCTCAATTACAGGAATCTGAGACATAACTCTGGCTTCCATATACCTAGTTATAGGAGCAACATTTCCATCGTAGCTTCACCTACAACGCTGTCAAGGTGTATAATAGTCTTAATGACAATTACAAAAAGATGGGAATACTTGCATTCAAGAGAGCCATTAAGAACCACCTTCTGGGGTCCCAGAAGTCGACGTCAAGCCGAAACTGGGTGATAGGCAAAGTCATAACAGCTATCAGAAAAATATTTAAAAAAATTGTATGTATGTGTTTTGAAAATTATAGGTCTTTGAAAAGATGTAGAAATTTCACACCCTACGGCAGTCTGTCAACTCCTGTTACTACAAATATTAACTTCTTTTAGATTTTATTTTTACAATGTAATGATGAATAATGCATCTTCAAACTGGTGTCTCAACCTTACTGCCAACTTTTCTCGTTCAGGAAAAAATTTCCCAACCAAGTATTCCAAAGTAAAACTTTGCTCAACTTTAACTGGCTGTACTGGAAAAAAATGTACTACGAGAGTTTGGCAAGTAACCTTAAAAGTTGGCGCATTTAATAACGATTCCAAAATGGTATAACACTTAGAAGATTACTCGTTAACTTATGCACAATTTTTATTTGAAGAAAAACTGATGAAATTTTTTCAAATTTCCTAATTAAACAGCGATTATGGAAACGCACAAGGACCCTTAAGGATAACTGTTTGCACAACAGTGGGCGTCAAAATGCTGCTGCTGATGATTTACCTTTACAGCAAATGCTCAAACTGTTTTCCTTCAGCCGCAATACACGCTCGACATCTTCTTAAAAAGATCGGGTTATTAAACGAGCGAATCCACGGTTATTAACAAACTCAGCTGCTTCCAATAGTCTTTGCCGTAGCTCAGCTACATTTTGAATCGGCTTGAAATACACTTTTTCTTTTACAGTTTCCCAGTAAAAAAAATCTAACGGATTCAAATCTGGTGACCGGGCTGGCAACGGTATTGTACCAGACCGCCCTATCCATCTGCCTGGAAAGTTTTGATCGAGATACTCTCTCACTGAGAGTGCATAGTGCACTGGGCAGCCATCATGCTGAAACCACATGTCCCTGTAAATACTCAGTGGCATGTCCTCCAATAAATTTTCTAAATGATTTTGCAAAAAAAACCTAAATAAACCTGAGCAGTCAAAGTCTCTGGGAACTCAAACGGACCGATTATTTTACCATTTAAAATTCCTGTACAATGGTTTATCTTGAAGCGATATTGAGATTTATCTTCTCTCATCAAATTTGGGTTTGCTACGTGCCACTCGTGTAAGTTATGCAGGTTCATGTACCCATCTTTCTTAAATGTGGTCTCATCCGACCATAAAATTTTTTCAAAGAACTGTGGATCTTTCCTGTGTCTTTCTAACATTGTGCGACAAAAAGCAACTCGGGGCTCATAATCCCGGAGCAGGAGAGGTTGAATACGCTGTATGTGGTATGGATGAAGCACATCACTTACTTGCTATTGCACACTTTGATACCGATCAGTACTCTTTCGTTTACAGCGCATCTTTAAATGTTCGTGCTTGTTGATTTCGCACTGTTACTAATTTTGTATTCGTGAACTGGACTGTTGATCGCTTGTGATTTGGATTTGGACTGTTTAATTGCTCTTCAAAACAACATTTGCTTTCCTTAGACTATCTTTGATAGTGTGATTGTGCATTGCCGCTATGTCCATGTACACCGTACAAGAATATGCTAACATGCACCTCATTTATGGGGAATGCAGATGCAACGCTAGTGCTGCAGCGAGACTTTACTGTATGAGGTACCCGAATGCAGCTGGTCATCCAGATCATCGAGTGTTCACAAATGTGCACCGCTTACTGTTCTCGGAGGGCCAACTACCAAACCAATCACACGGTGAGGGAAGATCTTTCCTTCCTTACGAAGACGTGGTGCTAGGAGCTGTCGAAGAAGACCCGAGTACTTCAGTGCGTGCAATAGAACTAAAAACAGGTGTGCCCAAAAGTACAGCCCATAGAATCTTGCAAAAAAACGTGCTCCATCCATACCACGTACAGCGTGTTCAAGCTCTTCTGCTCCGGGATTATGAGCCCCGAGTGCTTTTTGTCGTACAATGTTAGAAAGACACAGGAAAGATCCAAAGTTGTAATAAATTATGGCGCGAATATGTTCTCGGTTGAGTTCCATTTTTCTTATGACTTGGTGATACTTAAAAATTCACTGTAGTATGAACACTGCACGTATTGTTGTGAAACTTTGATTTAAGTTTACTAAAGAGTGAGGTTAAGATTCAGTACTGACGCTCAATCCGCGCGGCTACTATGTTTCTACATGCAAAACTTAAAAGACAGCCCTCGTATTATATTTTATGATAAAAATGATGCCTACTAAGTAGCTCAAAACGCTGACTGCTTTCATCAAAACATGAATTTAATTATTAAAAAATCGAAATCAATGAATCATTCCTATCTCAATAGCTTTGTTATACAGGGTATTTTAGAAACATGTGCAAAAATTTCCAGGGTACAGTAAAAAAATGAAAAAACTTCCTATAAATATGGGTCCAAAGATGCTGCCGTACCGTGATACAAGTGAAGTTTTATTTAGGATAATGAAAAAAATTATATCTGTGTAGCGAGTAAAGATACTGAGTTAGGATTTTAGATATTTAGCAAGTAATAAACATACCGAGTTTCCCGGCCCAAGCTAAATCAGGGACGTAGAAACTGGGGTCCCTAGACTCTTGGACATATTTTCTATACCGCTAGCTCATTCGGAAAAACGAGTACATTTTATGAAGCAGCATTAAATTTTCAGTAAATCTTATCTGTTGAGATATTTTTGTCAGATTCCTCGTTTTGGAGATATTTGGATTTGAACATTTGAGGTTAAATCCTTATTAAAAGGTGTAGCCTCCCCTATTCTGAAAACGTCGTGAAGCTTGTGTACGCCACTGGTTTTGCCGGCATATCCATTATTGCTCATAGATAAAGAAACTTGAAAAAAAATGAAAACGTTTATTCCAAAAATAAATAAATAAAGCGAATGAGAATTAAATGCGACAACAATAAAGATTATATTCATACAACTTACGTGGTTATTTCTAAACTTGTGCAGACATAATATTGGAAACAAAAAAAATAATTTGGTACAAAAATTATTCTTTAATGACACTTTTGATACCTATAACTTTCTTGTAATTAATTAGATATGGGGCCTAAAGAAATACAGTTCCCGGCCCTCGGTACGAAGGCATGCCGGGGATCCGTATTTATAGGAACTTTTTCTGTTATTTATGGATGTTCTTTCTACTCTATGAATACTTGTACGTCTTTCTGAAACACCCTGTATACCATAAAGTAAGTTACACATTTTTCTTTAGTTCGATTTCATTTGATAAAATACGGGTCATCAAAATCATCCATGGTAAAGTGTAATCCACAAACGCGTTTTATCGCGAAGAGCAACTCCACTCTAGCAGCTTTGCACTACATCGAATCGACCAAAACAGAAACTCACTTCTAGTTTAGATCGCACCATCGGTCAAGTAATCATTGACCTCGAGCGCAAAGGATACCAGTCATCCATACAAGCGTGCACTAAAGCGCGATGCGACTTTCCGATTCTCCGACAAGCCGCTTTTCCGCAGTTGCGTCGTCGATCGCCGTTTCCGCGGAAAACTGACTCGTTTCCACGAGGTTGCGGAGCGCCGCGTCGTGGCTTGGACTGCCGACGAGTACGCGCATTGCCGATATAGTGGAGTGCTGTTAGGTTTAAACTCCGGAACTCGGAAAAGCTCAATAGACTTTTTAGAGTTTCACATTAATGAAAATAGTGTATATCAAAAGGTCTCCATGTTTTCTGGACTTTGATTTTCAGTCTTCTTCTTTTATCGTTTATGTACAAAGTTATTCAGTTTTATACTAGGGGTACTAGAGGGAAATTCTACCTAGTATGTCAAATAGCCTCCCAGAGAAGCTTTACAGATGAGTGTCTGGCTTTCTTTCTAGCGCACAATATACGTCGTATTTTACAGTGATTGAATTTAGTAGCCACATCAACAGCGGCGTGTTTTGTTTGGATGCTGGAAAGAGAAGACGGATTTTCGGCCAAAGTGCCCTTTTCCGATGAGGCTCATTTCCACCTCAATGGGTACGTAAATAAGCAAAATTGCAGTTTCTGGGGGGCTGAAAATCCACACCAATATCATGAACAACCTCTCCGTCCTGAAAAAGTGCTTGTTTGGTGCTGATTATGGGCTGGTGGTATCGTTGGACCATTCTTCTTTGAAAATGCCTAAGAAAAGGCCATTACCGTCAACGGGGAACGTTATCGCGGCATGTTAACAGACCTTTTGTGGCCACAATTCGATCGCATTGGTGCAGACGATCTTTAGTTTCATCAAGACTGAGCAACGGCTCACACATCTCGCCAAATTTCAAGACCGCGTAATTTCACGAAATTCAGATGTCAGTTGGCCCCCGAGATCGTGGGATTTAACACCTCTTGACTGTTTTCTTTGGGGATTTTTGAAAGGAAAAGTGTATGCGAATGGTCCCCAGACAATTCAAGACCTAAAGCGCAATATCCGGACTGAAATTGCGGCCATAGACCCGTTTATTCTGGGAAAAGTCATTGAAAATTTTGATGTTCGGATGTTAGCCTGTAAACGAAGCCGCGGTGGTCATATGACTGAAGTTATTTTTCATACATAAATGACATAAACCAACCTTCGTTTATCAATAAAAAAAATCGATTTCACCTCGTAAAAAGCGTGTTGAATTTTCAAATAGAAAAAAAAGTAATATATGACGCACCCACTATTTGCCCTTCCAAATTCAGGGCCAAATATATCATCAGACAGATTACTTATTGCCAACGCTGGATAGTGACTACAAATTTTTGAAAATTTACTCGATGAGTGCATGAACCTTGAAATTGTCGGCCTGTTGCCGCGTGGTAAAAGCATCATCATTATTTATTTACGCACTAGAAAACAAAACAAAAAAGTTGTGTACCAAAAAGCATTAGAATAAGCACTTTGTTTTTGAAAAACTTTTTTATTATTCATCCCACTTTATACCTAAGACAGGACAGCGTCTGTCGGATCAATAAAAAAAAAGATTTCGAGTAAAACTACTTTAAGAAATAAAAATTTCCGTATAAAATTTTCTTATTTCATATATTTTACTTATAAACAAGATATCGAGATGCACTTTTCGCTATCTTGTTTCGACATCAGTTAGCTACTTTCTCACGAAAAATCATACCAATGCATTTAATTTTTTTTTTTAGAAAATCCACCATTTCTGTCGAAATGTCGAAAAACGCCCCCTAGCGGTCACATGTGAAACTAACAAAAATTCGAACATTATAACATTTGTAGCCCAAGAATAGGTCTTTCCAACTAGCCCAAGCTTGTCAAAATCGACTCAGCAGTTTCGAAGATACAGGGTGTTTCTTACGGGAACCTTTCAATACCCCACCACTTTATTTTTAGAGATACAGCAAAAATTGTCAAACACAAAAGTACACATTGACGTTAAAGATCTGGTATTTTCAGAAACTTGAAAGTGTTTTCCAGGTTTTTCCCTTGGCCGATTCAGTAAGAACTTTTTTTAAAATGAAAATCAAAAAGCCTGCGGAACTTTTCAATATTAAATATACTAAGTGACATATAAATCCGAACACCCAGTTTAAATGGTTTTGTTTTAATAAAAGTTGGTGAATGTATTTATCTTACTGTAAATAACAAGTGAAAAAATTTTCAGCCTTATCAGTTGGACATTCCGGTTTTTATACTGCTTTTTTTTTAATTCGCTAACGCTCTAAAAATGAATATTTCAGCCGCAGTAAAGAATCAACGTTGGCGGATTTTGGTTCTTGACATCCTTTACGATCGGTTACGATGCCTAGAGTACGGAGACCTGTACGATTTCGTCAACTTAGTGAGTTTGATAGGGGCCGTATAGTGGGACTTCGGGAAGCTGGACTTTCTTTTCGGGCAATAGCAGTTAGAGTGCAAAGAAGTGTAGACACTGGGGTTAGGTGTTGTCAGGCATGGCTTCGAGAAGGCTGTACGCAAAGAGCAAGGGGCACTGGACGCCGCCGTAGAACAACAGACCGTGAAGACCGCCGCCTAAGATTATTGGCCTTAAGGGACCGTTTCTCCACTGCCAGGTCCATTGCAAATGAATGGTTTGTAGAACACGGAAGACCTATTGGCATGCGAAGTTTTTACCGACGAATGAGAAGTTTTGGCTTGTTTTCATACCGGCCACACTGGGTCCTCACTTTAACTCGAGAACACCGACGTAATCGCCTTGAGTGGTGCAGACAACGGTCACTCTGGGATCAGGAATGGAACAGTATTGTCTTTAGTGACAAGTCTCGATTTTGTTTAGGCATGCACGATGGTCGTGCCAGGGTTAGAAGGCGACGTGGTGAAAGGAGGAATCCACAGTTTTTTGTTGTAGGACATGTTCATCACACTGTTGGAGTTATGGTTTGGGGTGCTATAGCTTATGGTTCCAGGTCACCTTTAATCTTCATCAGAGGTAACATGAACGCGCAGCGTTATATCCACGAAGTTCTAGAACCCCATCTTTTACCCTATCTTGACAAGATAATGCCCGACCACATGGTGCAAGAGTCACAATAGACTCTTTCAACATAATGATGTCACATTGTTACCATGGCCACCAAGATCTCCCGACTTATCCCCAATTGAGCACGTGTGGGATATGATGGGTAGGAGATTCCTCAATTTGCAACGTCCTCCTCAGACTCTAGAAGCACTTCGAGAGGAGTTGGTGGTTGCCTGGAATGAGATACCACAGGAGGACATTGACCACCTGATCAGAAGCATGCCTAGGCGCGTTGGAGAATGCGTAGCACATCAGGGTGCATCCACACATTATTAAAGGTCGAAGGCCTTTAAAGCGGTGCAATCATTTTGGAATTTTTATCATTTACTTATTATGTTTCATTAAGTACTTATACAAAATTTTATTAAAATAAAACCATTTAAACTGAGTGTTCGGATTTATATGTCACTTAGTATAAGTTCGAGAATCTCCGTCCAATCAGCTTCCGGGGATTGTGCGGTTTTTGTGTTTTACGTCTAACGGAGCTCCACTAATAGTGACATCGATGGATGTTCCGGTGGCCCCATTGTCTCCTGAGCTGGAGTCGAGTACCTTCACACTGGAAGTATTAACATATAAAAGACCTAGGTCAGATCTGACCGTGAGAAGAGCTATCCATCATTCGACCTTTATTCTGACGCGGCAGCGCGGAAGGGTTGCGGACGCGATCTTCACATGCAGCTGTAGAGCCAAACAAACTGCATTCAGGGAACAGAGGTTTCACGCTTTTACAGCAGGATGAAAAAAGGATGTAGCTCGTTTTTATTGGAAAACTTGATATGAAGGAGCTTCATTATTTTTGAATATTTGCAATAAAAAAAATGTTTTTAAATATTAGATTCACTTTATTAACAGCTATGTGAGAGCTTGCTTTTCTTATTTTATTTATTGTGTGTTCTAGCAGGAACTACCTGGCATTATAGAGAAATGGACTCACGTTACTGAGATTCATATCTGAAAGTTGGAAGTAGAGGCACCTTTTAGGGAATACATATTTTTGCTTCTATCTGCTATCTACACAGTTTTATCTGTCGTCCAGTTCCTAAAAGGGTACTATAAAAGTTTTGCAATCCAGCTTTATTTATTGACTTCGTTCAAAGTAATTTCCACCACATTCACACTTCTCCATCCGTACGATGAGGAAGCGTCATTTTTTCTAAGCTCTGATATATGCTTAAACCACGCGTAAAAACAATGCCCTTATCTCAGTACGTGACCACGATGCCATAGTCCGCACTTTACACTGTCAATACGAATGAACAACTAAATCAGCAGATTGGCGCTACTCTGCAATCATGGACATGTCTCAACGTGCAGTAACATGCAGCCTCCTGCGTCCGTTTGTTAAGTCATATTGCAAAACTTTTATAGTACCCTTTCTACTTCACCACCATAGCTCGATTCGGGTCTGAGAATCCACGTTTCACAATAAAATCCAACGGTTCTTCATCACCGAGTTTGTAGGATAGCTTTAGAGTTTTAATTCTGATTTATACACTCCTCCTTAATAACTTACAAGTTAACCCGTTCGAATTCGGTGATAAATCAGAAACTTTAGAAAATCCTGCCGCCTAACTCGCGATAACAATCGGAAGCGTTTTAGCGTTATCGTAAATATTTTTATTTGGACGGAATGAATTGCCTCTGCTTGGGCGTCACACCGATCTGACCTCAAAACGGCTGTACTAGTAAGTAAATTAGCTCTGCATTATCTACAATAATATTTATCTGCTTTCTCGTGTCATTTTTATTATGCATTACCAACACTTAGCTTTAAAATACACAAGTTACATCAACCTTTATGCGTCTTCACGGTTGTGGGCGCACACCATACACAAGCTGCAAAATCATAAAAGTGCCTATCTACTATATTGCATCAGCACTCCATTAAATGTTACAACTCTTCGAACTAGGTAGACAGATTTCACCAACATTAATATTATGGACCAATGGGAAACTACCTTACCGAACTGCAATTTGACAGAAGCTGTCAAAGGTCTCTGAATATTAGTGATTTGTATTGAAATATTGAATAAAATCGTGAAATTCGACTGTATTATAAACAAGACCACTT